TATTATTTTTTAATAAAGAAAGCCAGATACATTATTGTACCTAATTAGTTGTTTTATTGTTAAGCGCTCAAATTGTACAGGTTTTGTTATAACATCAATAAGTAATCTTCCTAGTTAAGTCACAATTAACTTGGTGGCGCCCAAAGGTAAGATGTATACAAGGAACCCGTAGACCCATGTCCTCCGGACTGATGCTGACTAGCCGTATGCAGTATAATTAGGCAATTGCCAAAATAAGTACGTTATAAGGTATCCTGAACGCTGAGGCATGACCTACACAGGTTTAGTAATCAATAGAGACATGAAACTTTCCAATATTACCTGCGTAAGTCATGCCTTAGCGTTCAGGATACGTTTGGGTTCGTTTCCGCAAAAAAAGTGTACAAGCACTATAATTCCTAGAATTCATAATCATTACAAAGGGAATTATATATTATGCAGTACAGTTACCGTATTATCGAAAGTCAAAAGTACTCTCAATATCAGAAAATTCCAATTTTGAACACAAAATTTTAGATACTCAGGTTCATGCGCCTGGTCAAAAGCACCGACTATGAAAAGAACGAACTATACTTCAACCAAAAACCAAAATATTTTTGGGCCAATGGGTAGTGGAAAACCTGCATAAGTCATTCTCGGATGGACAAAATTGCCACCCTTGTACCAGTGGCGTAATTACTGATTTTATCAATGGTCGGTCTTTTTGACCGACACGCATGTACTCCCGGGTTAATACAATTTTATAGCAAGTATACTTAAATTATATCCCAACTATCAATCCCCGAACTGACAACAAACCTCAAATTATTAAAATCAATAACCGAAGATTTGCAGAAGGCACCATTACCCACGAGTGCCAATCTAAATCCCATTTTATCGGCAGATTCGGTTTTATGATCCGACAGCATTCTATCTCTTTTGAATTGAGGTTAAACAAAAGAGAAAATGCGCTCTGAGCTTAAAACGAATTTTTACTTCTTACAAACTGCAATTGGCAATAATTTCGATGTCATTGATAACGTGCATCCATTATTTAATTAATTTCACTGTATCTGCATTATTTGTCCTTTTCTTACAATAGATGTTTTCAAACAAGTATCGATATTCAAAATCACGGCCACGGCTATGATTTTCGTGATTTTCCTAGAGTAAATCGTTTGACACTTCCATTATGGGAAACCTCTGTACCTATTTAGTTTTTCCTGCTGTTCTATGATGCTCTATCATCAGTATTTATTTTTAATGAGCTGATACCTACATTTTGCCTTCTGACCTTACTATAAATTTCTGTTTTTTTTTTTTTTTATCAATTATTTCTATGATTTTTCGGACCGAAAATTCCCGAACGTCTTATTTATGCGCCATAAAAATAATCAGAAGAGAGCACTTTATTAGAGAAATCTCCCGACCCCGGACGACACCCCTCGTGTTTTGCGGTGGCACACTTCTAATATTAAGGGATGTTGTCAAGCGGATCAGGGTGCATATATTTAAAAGGGCCTGCATACATATGTATATCTTCAAATTGATTTGTCACAGTCGGAAGCGCCGCACTGTTTTCTAGTGATAAGAATCACAAAAGGACCAGAGGTAATGAAAATGTTATTTTTTTCTGAGGATAAGGTATTAGTTTGTGGCAATGTAAAACTGTATTGTTTGGTGACTGCTGTTGCCTATACAAGGCTTATCTAACAGAAACATTCTGATGGCTAATAAATTAATGGTATTAGGACTATTAAATTTATATATTTTATTTTTCTACTTATCTTGTGGCGGTGGTGGCGGTTTTAAATTTCAGTGGATTTATATAGACGTAGAAATCAAGGTCATATAGACTTTTTTGTTGAATTTGTTACAGCAAAAAATATTTTTCGTCTATACAGATACATGCACTTAGCCTTATTAGGATTTAGTTTCCAACATACACACACACACACACACATATGAACGTGAAAGCTGCTAAACTTTTTATCTTTTTCTAGTTGGCTTCCGACCGTACGTAAATCAGAGACAAGCCGGGTCGTTTTGGCACTTTTTGCTCTCTAAAATATATATTTTCAACTCCGCATAACGTTACTATCCACTTAGCCGGAAAGACCGAACAGACATATGTGACAACTCTCCATTCCGCAACGATGAATCACAAATTTAATTTCGCAAATGGATCTGAGACCGCGACTACGCGGTCCAAAAGTTGCCTGCCGGCCATATTGCTCTATGCATACGGGTCCCGTTTTTCATAACCTCAAATCCTAGGAGAAAAGGGCAATTGGAATATTAAGTGCTTTTAACTTATGTCGTTTCTAGGATATACAGTGTGATTTTTTAAGTGTGCAACATATGGGAATTTTTTTTAGTAATAGCACAACCCAAATACAAACAAGGCCAAAAGTTGGTGCATGTCTGATAATCATATTAGGTGCACTTAGAATGGTTGCAAGTCAAACAGCATACAGGGTAGCTTAAACAATATCAAAGCTGGTACTGTAAAGTACCCTTATTTTAGAAAATTCAGCAAAATGTTATAGAGAAAAGTTGTTTGGAATTAAAAGTTATGCCTAAATACCAAAGCATAGCCTCCTAAGATTTTTTTAATTTTCTTTCGAAAAAAATCTATAATTTCTATATTTTTTTTATTTTTCATTTCACTTTCAAAAATTAATTAAAATCAAATCAATTTTACATAACTTTGTTCAAATTCAAGCATATTTGTAAAATTAACTTAGATTTTCAATTTTTTATGGAATCACAAAATTCATGTTTGTTGCAATGATATTCAACACAACTTTAAAATGTCGCAATTTTGTTTTTTAACAAGTTAAAACATTACTAATGATAATAGCCATATTAAAAAAACTCTCCTTAAAGTGCAAAAGTTTTATTTTATTTAAGTGATTATTAGTAGAATTTTGATATTTTTTGAGCCACCCTGTATGCTGTTTGACTTGCAAACATTCTAAGTGCACCTGATGTGATTATCAGACATGCACCAACTTTTGGCCTTGTTTGTATTTTGATTGTGCTATTACTAAAAAAAAATCCCATATGTTGCACACTTAAGTAATGACACTGTACATATACTATATCGGAGCTTTTTAACGCGAGCATTGACATGGAGGTTTTGGATGAGAGACTTCAAAAATAGATAGTCAGGGTGGGTTTAAGAAACAATGCGTTAGATCTTGGATCTTCAGGTAGTTTTCTTTTCGCAAGACTAAGCCAATCTTTCCCAAAGAGAGAATTTTGTTAGTGTTCTAATTTGCGCCCGAAGAGTGAAGATATTTTTCAGAGCAGAAAGGCTTTCAGCCGCTTTTGGTTCTTCCATGGTTATGTGGTTGCAGACTTACTACACGAGTTCTTCTCTGGTCGCCCCTTCTAGCCTCAAAGATTCAACTGAGCTAAATATCATCGACGATGAAAAGTAACAACAGCAAAATTCTTTGATCATGAGATTTAGTCTTTGAAAAGAGCGATTGGGAAAATATATTTGCAATGGCTCTGCAATATGTTTTTCGCATTAGGATAGCCTTGATATTACGTCTTGAAACCATGTTACTATGAGTTGCCTTTGTATTTCTAATATGTATTTAGAAGTACCAGAGTCGACTTAACGTTTGTCGCTTCTTGAACACAAAAATAAAATTAGGTTAGGAATTTCGTATGTGTACATGAAATTGACGTATTAGCATTTAGCACTCGACGTTCGTTTTTTTTGGTAATTTTTTGTTTCATCCGATTCGTGATTGATAAATAAGGATGGGGTTTTTCTAAATGGGTATTAAAAACACCATATTATGTCCTCCTGCATATGCCATGTGAGTTTGTATTTCTCCTACATCCGCAACTATTCTTCTCGCCTCTACTTTCTTTTCCGATTATATTAACCTGATTTGCAACATTTGTCCATTAGATACCTATCCTTTAAATTTGTTCTACTATTGTGAATCCTCTCTTGTTGTTTCTGTTATTTCTTCCTCTATATTCGTCAGAGTCTTTATCATTGATCTCTGTGCAACTAGTCCTCGGTTGTGTTGTATATTCAAAACAAATAGAAACGGACCAAGGAAAAGTCCATGTGATACGAGATAAGAATAGTATAGTACCTACATAAAACCGTTGTTCCACCGGCAATGGCGGATAGAGTACTACGTGAACTGCACTGTCGTAGAAATGTCGAAGAATGGTGCAAGGGATGTAGTGGAAGCGGTAGCTATATAAAAACCGCAAATCGTGATACAAGCAAGGCGTTTGGTACACGTGTATTTTAGACTCAAATGATCAATTTGGCCCGAAGTTCCTTCAAAAATTTTCCTTAGGGGTGGAATGGAGGGGATTACTAGCCCTCACTCTAAATTGGAATACATTTCTTCATAAATCGTAAGTAAGCGTGCTTTTATCCTGTTCGAAAGCCTTGTGGTTGACAAATACATAGTGACATTAGTTTAAAAAAAGTCCTAAAGGGAGTAAAAAATAAGTTATAAGCCCTTAAAGCGCAGTTTACCACCTAATTTTATTAATTTTCTTAGAATTTTTTTTTTTTTTTTTAGTTATAAGATTTTAGCCCAGTTATGACCAAACTGGAATAGAATAAAGCTTTGGAGGGTGCTATGGAGGCAGGGAGTGGAATATTATCCCTTGTCTTCGATTCGGGATTATTCCCAAAATATTCGTATGAGCTCCGAAAAATTTCCGAAAATAATTTAGGTACTCATGTTATTGTAAGTGAAAATTTTTAATAATGTTTATCATTTTTTTCTGCAAAGAGATTTCATTTTTCACAATCTTTGCTTTTTTCTCTAAAAATGAAAGAAAAGTATTAGAATAAAATATTTAGAATAAAATAATTCACATACGTTTTATTAATGCAGTCTCCGTGGCAAAATTTGCAGGCGGGGGTGCAAGGGATTGCATATTTTTTGCAGCAGCATCTATTTGTGTCACAACCAGACCGACAACCGCACCTATCCAGCTCTTTAACTGATGCCCATATCCAGTCTAACTGTGACCAAACTGGCTCAAGGGAACCATCTTCTCGCCTCTTCCACCCCCATTGTTCTGGGAATGGTCGGCTAGATATAGAGCCCTCCAGTGCACGTCCCCATATCTCTCCAGCTTGGTACTTAGCACGTTTTATATGCTCTAAAAGGGCAGCAGCGGTAGGAGGAATCACTGAGATAGACTTCTCTCCAGTGACAAATAGGTTACGACGGGCCTCGTTGATATCGGTTATTTCGCTGCGTGAATCGTACATATCAATCGTAAACTTTTCTAGAGCTTTTAGGTGTGCGTCGGTCAGCTTGTCGATGCTGGGAGGGAAGGACAAACACTTGAAAGCTGCAGTAATTTCTGGGTCTTTCCAAGCAGACCAGGCACTGCCTGAAACATATCGAGTAGAACAAATCAATTTTTCTTACAAGGATGTAGGGGTACGCACCCTTTGATGTAAAAAAGGAAGTTGAGTCACACCCTGTAAAACTGTGAAAACCACGCAGAGCAACGGCTTTTTCCTTGCCCAGTTTATTTGCGATGTTGTGGACGGGAATGTATCTTTTTTTTGATCCATTGCCAAACAAAATCCACAACTCTTTCAATCCGTGGTCGTGAAGCTCGTGAAAATGAGATATCCCAAGAACAACCACGTCTGTGTCGGAACAGCGGTTCATAACTGACTCGATTCCGTTAGCAACCATATCTTTCGCATGAAGAAGTATTCTGCCGTCAGCTTCCTCCATTTGGGAAATATCAAGTCCTTGTAACTCAGAAATAGATCCAGGAGACGTTACAATTTTATTATCAACATTTGTAACAATTTCAAATTGTTTTAACAAAGTGATCAGATTTCTAGCGAGAAAACGGAACAGTTCCTGTTTATTTTCTGAGTTTTTTAAAAAGTCGTTCCAGTTTTTTGGAAGAAAACCTATAAGAAATAGAAAATTATTGCAAACAGTACCTATTGGTAAAAAGTGGTATCTGTGTGAAAGGCGTTATATTTTCTTACCTTTTTCAGGAATATCTATCTGGCGAACTCCAGCACCTCTTCGATCTCGAGTGGTCGCTTTTAGACTCATGTTGCAGTAAAGATCCCAGGCCACATCTATTCTAAAAGCATCGACGCTGTTGGCAATTTTTGTTAGGATGGGACCTAGCTGTTTGGAACAGTATTCGGAAACGTTCGTGAAAGTGCCAGTGGGCTTATATAGGTGAACTAGTCCTGCACCATCAATTATAAGTCCTTGGCACTGCATTGGATGTTCAGATAATGAAGTGTGCTTTTCAAGGATGCTCAGAAGATCTGATTTATTTCCAGGACGAATTTCACCGTGCAGTGAGAGTGCAGGTGGATATTTTTGATTCTCGTACTTGAAAAATTCTCTTAAGCCCAAGTCGCGAGCTGTGCTAACAATAAAGAGTCTCATAAATAAGTTTTTTGGGCTCTAAGAATATTCTGACACCAGCCTTTTTAATAACATCGTGAATAGGAGTTTTGTTCGTAACTAGCCGCTCCCTTACAAAGTTTGTGTAGGCACTAAATCCCTCTTCAGCTAGATTATTAAGCCTGCCAACGCACACCTTACTTGCAACAACTCTCGTACTTATGTTAATAAGTTCTTGATTGTCACCCTCAAAAGGATTACCGCACTGGACGAAACTTTCTTTGACAGCAGCACAATCGGTAATAAACTTTTTTTGAAAGCTAGCGTAATGCTCATGGTGTACAGATGGTTCTTCTTCGTCAGGAGCATACTGAAATTCGTGCAACAGTCTAGTCACTTCTGGACTTCCGATAGTAAATCGTCTCAGTGAAGATGGATCCTCAGTCAGTCCAATTGCACCTCCTTTCCCCTTAATTCATGCGTTATTTTGCTTATGTGCATGATCAATACCCAGTGCAGCAAATTTTTTATCAGTTATAGGCACCACAAATTTTCCTAAAAACAATAATAAAATAAAAAACCAATGATGAAATATCCTAATCCTGAATCAATCAAATATCTACCCTATTATTTTGCTTACCTGATTCAAATTCAGCATTTACCGATGGCACCTTGGCTTTCAGATCGATCATGTCCGCTAAGTGAACAGGAAGCCACCGGGCATAATTTTGATGTTCAAATAAAAAGTACCAAGGGATCATTTTCGCTATGGATTTTTTGTATAGTTTGAAATTCGCATCACGGATTGACTTTACAAAACATAGTGCAAGAATCTCTAAGTTTAAAAGTCCATACCAGTACTTAAAATTTGGGTTGATTTTTGATTTTTCAGCAGCCCACTGTTCCAAAGTAATGCCAGCTGGATCGTCTAATTCATATGCTTCAAAAAGCAATGAATAAAGAGCGCATGCTGTAACCTGGTGTATAGCACGTGCTTTCAATATGTTAGAAACCTGCAAAACAAGAAAAAAACATCAGCATTGAAGACAGTTTTTTGTTTATGCAAGTTATACCTTTAACAGTCCTTCAGCTGATTCAGAGGTAATAACGCCGGAATTTCCTGTGACAGCATTCCACCCACTGTTTTCAAGATACTGACCTAAAATTGCCAAGAAAGATTTCTCAATGTGCAAAGGCCCCAGCATAACAACAAACAACTCTTCGCCGAATTCACTTGGATACTGCCATTGGATGTGCTTGCAAATACAATAAAGCTGCTGATCCACACACATAACGGTAATTTGATCACGGTTAAGTCTTTGAGTTATATTTTTAACGATGTTCATTGCGTGCTTGATCATGCTTGGATCAGTTGCTTTTTCATGAAACAGTGGCAAAATTGCATTATTGGCAGGTACTACTGCTTTTGTACTTAAGCTAGCATAATAAGCAGCCCATGATACTATAGGGGTATCTTCAGTTCTATCTTGAGCCATTGTATCGTGCACATGGGTTAACCATGGGGCTCCCTTTTTCCAAATATCTTCGATATTACCTTATACATTAAAAATATGTAATTGAAGGGACATGCTTTTCATCGTAATACAATACTTGAAATAATCATTTCATTTCCAACATTATCTGCATAGCAATGTGAAAGAGGTACTTTGCTAGGTAAAACGCATTCGGGGACACTTGAATAAAAATCTGGAAGTTCTGGCACAGATCGATCTCCAGCGCTCTCTACATCCGCGTACGAAGTTTTATATTTCTGGTCGACGGACAACGAATTTTCTTCTGGAAGCTGAAATAATGAAATACCGGTTCCATGGAATTCGTTTCTACTAGTAGTGCTGGTTGTTTTGTGGTCTATGTTGTCTATAGCTGAAACCGTGAATAAGCTATGTTTTAGATTTGATGGACAGACGATGCCAGCTACCTTGGAACGTTCCACTACCATTCTACTCTACATTCTGGGACGTGACCGCCATGACTCTGTTGGAAGAAACAGAAAGACCCTTTTGATGCAGCTCATCAATTAATGTTTTCTCTCTGCCTTTTCCATGGAGAGATAAGCCGATATAAAGCGGTAAGGGAGGCTCTCTGTTTTTATTGTTGCGAACTATGTGCCCTTTGGGCATTCCCTGATGGTACGATAAAATTATTAGCTGGCATATGGACAGGGCAGGTTGTGTAGCTCGACAGTCTTCCCGCGTTGCTGTTCCGTACAGTAAAGTGTTTACAGCGCCAAGTAGAGGAGCTGTAATACATAATTCTTCGCAATTTTTTTCAAAGGACCCATTAAAAGAAGGTTTGCACTCCGTAATGGCTCGTCGTAGTCTTTTGGCAAAGTGCTGAAATGCTAGAGCATCCTCATCTTGATCTTCTTTATCCAGCACTGAAAACAAATTAGCATTGATGGTGGTTAAGGTGTACTCTCGACCACATTTTTCGGCTCTTAAATTGGGAAAGTGAGCAAGTATTTTCTGCCTAAATATTGTCTCGTGCTCCCTTTTAAGTTCTTGCTCGCAAATACCAAGTAATGTAGCTAGACGTTGTTTGTACGTTGATCGCCCATTGCGAAAACAAACTTGGAGTTGCTATTAAGCTTTTTGTGGATATATATGACAACGTCGGCAAAGGCCATTCCTTCACACATGATTTTATTTTTATCTGCAGCACCTTCACTTGCCTTGTTTCTTGTTTTATTGTACAGGCGTGCAAGGCACTTGGGATGGTACTTTCCTTCTTGCGCAGACAAGTCGCCTTGGGCCAACAATGCTAACAGATCATTATCACACAAAGTCTCGGCACATCTATGAATGTTACTAAAGACGTCGTCAGTAGCACATTGACGAAGAGGATCATTCCATTTCTCAGGACACTTGCAAAATATACAAAGTGATTCCTTCAGATTTATAAAAGGGACAGACGACCTAGTGCTTCTTTCAAGGGGTTCATCATCTAACTGTTTTTCGGTGGTAACCGATACAAGTTTGCTTTTCTGTTTTTCCAACAATGCGGTGAACTTGGGATTTAGATATCGTAAAGAGCACGATTTATGCCATTTCGCGCGGTTTGCTTCAAATGTTTCTAAAACACCGCCACCTTCATCTAATTTGTACACTACTAAACCCGATTCTAGTCTATACCCGTAGGGCCTTAATAGTTCTAAATTAGCTGATAAAGAGACATACCCCTTATTTTTCCGAGTTGCTATAACATTATTTGCAGGACAAACGAACACGCCCGTTCCACTTTGGCATAAACAGCAAAGTTGCCAGTCTACTCTCTGAGAAGTATTTGCTCCAGATACCGCCAACACTAATTTGTTTCTACGCATCATTATGACAAAACAACAAACGAACACACACACAAACTAACTTGAAACAATAACAATCTACACCGCATAATAATAAACCGGGAAGACAATAGAACCGACAGCCCGTCGCCGTTTTTATTTGAACTGCGCATGCGAAATAGTTCCGAACCGGGTGCGATTTTCGAAACCATTCGAGTACATTTCGTACACGAAATTTGACTGACAGCAATGTAAATTAAATGGGGAGGATTCGAAATCGTATCAAATTTCGTATGCGAGAATATTCGAAAATAAGACCCCAGTTCTGAATCCTTACCGCGATCTGCGAACGCAGCTAGTAGGTGTTTTGGCGGGAGGGGGTAGGGGTGTGAGTGTGAGAAAGGGTGCTTCCCTTTCCCCCCCCCACCCCCAAACATCCCCAAAACTTCTGGTTTTTCAATTTGCATCATATTTATTTTATTGGTTGGAAATGTTATACCCTAATGATATGTTTTGAGAGCTCACAAAATTAGGGGTAACCACCCCCAATTAGGGGTTAATTGTTTTAACTATTTTTTAAAGATTGCTTCTAACTCTTTTTAATACCTGATTGTCATTCAGAATGTTTTAAAACAGAATAAGTGCTGGTTTACTGAGATTGCCTTAATAAAAAGTGTCAGTTTTGAGTGGGGGTCAGATGGATGCCCCCTCTCTTTCCCTAAGGGAATTTTTTTTAGGAACTTCGGGTCAAATTGAATATTCGGGTGTATAGTACACTTGTACCAAATGCCTTGCTTGTATCACAATTTGCGGTTTTTTTATAGTTATTCATGTGTACCGCTTCCACTAATGTGACCTCTGGATTACCAGGGAGGGAACCAAGACTCAATCTCGGGGAGACATATTCAGTTCTCTCTGGGAGAGAATTGCGGTGACACATACGTCCTTCCCCTATACAACAGAGCCTGGAAATGATCATCTAACTCATGATTGCTATGGATTATGTTCCAAAGTGGCCAGAGTCAGATCCAAAATCTAATAAAAAAGTGGTTACAATAATTGCTGAAGCATTTCTGGATAACTTTTTAACCGGATATGGTGTAGCGATGGATCTTTATACCGATCAGGAAAGGAGTTTTGATGCCGAAGAATGGAAACAGGTGATAAGTGGTTACTCGGAATAAGGAAGAGCAGAACGACCCTACTCCATTCTCAGTCCGACGGAATCGCCTAGAGACACAACTGGACCATTGAAATACATAATTTAAAAAAAATACATAAATTCAAAACTTATTTATTTACCACAAATTCTATCTGAAAAATTTATTATTTTTGTACAATGGACAATTTCCACATCAGCACAAAGGCATTTTTGTTTATTATTTTTCCCAATAATAAACATTTTTGTATAACTGTCATCATAAAACTTTTTGTTGCAAATATTATCGCAGTTATTTTTTTGGCACAATCCTGCGCTAGCGGCGCTATTATTTTTTATTTAACTTTTATATACGAGTTTGCAAAGCGAAAGCCTATAAATCACTACAATTGTTTTATCGTCAATGTGGGTCGTATTTCAAAAATTCAATCTTTTAACTCATCACTTCAACGTTTCATATCTGGGGGTCTGGCGGATTTATGATTGCGTTATAGTGACAAATCTATTGTAACAAATGTTGCTGAACTGACGTTATAGAGACCATTTGGTATTTTACCTGAAATTAAAACTTCACCAAAATAGAAATATACCTTTCATTGGCCCGTGCGTCTTAATTGTTGGTTTCAAATTTATGTCTGAATGCTGTTTGCCTTTAGATGTCAGTGTAGAAACTCTAACTCCTACCACAGACATTTACACGTAAAAAATTGATCGTAGGTACCAAAAATTTTATAGAACAACCCAGTAGGTAGGTGAAAAATTTATGTCAACCAGCCGTAACAGCCACCTCAGACTAATAATGAAACTAGAGACCAAACATGTCATTTCGAAATCGCCTAATGTTTACGATCAATCATCTTTTAGTCCATGATATAAGTAAGAGAGAGATAGACCTATAAAACGGCAACATTGTCCAGTGGCGGCGTGTTCAGTTTTCTCTGAATTTTTCCCAGAATTCAATAAAAGTTTTATTCACAATAAATTACCATAAATATCCTCTAACTGCGCCAATGTCAAGAGTAAAATTATGTCAAATTTCTTACTGCCGAAATATTGAAATGTGCTTGGAATCCAGGGCCGTAGCCAGGAGGGAGGCATTGCGGACAATGCGTATTGGGGACAATGCCCTATCTTTCAAATGATAATGCCCTACCTTTAAAACATAACATGCGTTAACGTTTCTCTAGGAAATTTAAGAATAGGCCTGAGATCGAATAAGTGCGAGGATAAATGTTTCCGAAAACGCCTAAATGTATGCAACAATGACGTTTGCACAGAGGAAGTTTTCCGTTTCGAAAGAGTGCAAATGGCCCAAGGCGGCACGAGAATCAGCGCCATTTTGTTTACTTGCGAGAGATATTATCATATATAAGAGAAAAAAATTTGTTGGCAAAATTTTCGACTGGTATGAAAGTTTGTTGCTTGGCAATTTCGCGAATGGCATTTTTGACAAGACCACGAGCCATCAGGCGAGTGGTTTTGTCAAAAATTTCATAAGCGAAATTACCAAAAAGCAACAAACTTGAATAAAATCAAGAGAATAATTTTGCCTACATAATTTTTTCTTGGGTGGTATTCGGCTGGACTATTTCACGACTCACGAGAAAAACAAGCCAAATTTTTATTTGGAAAATTTATTTTCTTTAGGTGACACTTGTCAAACTCAATAGTTTTTTACCTTAACCACACAAAATTTTGTCGCTGAAAAACCATTATGTTGGTTTTGCCCAGGTATGAACAGGTAGAAGTTTTTCAGTAGGAAACCGGCCGATCCTATGACATTTTGCCAGTGTAAAACACTCTAGTGAAATAGTCTATTGAAAAATTAGCTTTCGGTGCCATTACCCCCATTTTGTTTACCTATAAACAATTTAAAGGGGGGACAAGTAGTGTATGCCCTATGTCAAATTTGTCATGCCCTATCACAAATTTGACTCTAGCTACGGCCCTGTTGGATTCATTACAAATAATACATCGACGTACCATTTTAACGTTCTCCACCTCACGTTCCACAGTTTTAAATCCAAAAATACCACTGATTAACATTAAAAATCACAAAATTAGCTCCATCACTTTACAGCAACACTGCCAAATCCATTATGGATGACATAGGTCACATAAGATCATCTGATTGGCTGCTCGTAGATGCAACGTTGCCGATGTGCCATTTTTCGAGCAATACATTCCTTTGCTAATCTAGGATTTTCACCAATTTAATTTAAAAAAAAAAAAAGAATACCTATCCTATTCAAAAAGGCATTATTTAAGTTAATTATCCGTGAAGACATTTAAGAGGGGCGTTTAAATAAAATGTCACTTACAGACCTTCACAAATTTCTGTTCAATTCCAAATTTAGACGACTTTTCAGTGAAATGAAGTTATGTTCATAACAATAATAGATTGTAGTATGGGTCGAAGCATTGTTGATTGCAAAGTACGCAGTCTAAATAGTAAAATTATTACCAATTCTGTTGATAACAGTATGCAAATTTTGGTCACGGATTCAACTGAAAAATGGATAAACACATATAATAGCACAGCAATAATAAATTTTCAAGATTTCGGATCATAAAATCCTGGAATAAATAAAAAGAACAGAATTTCCGAAAATGTATGACACAGAATACATATCCTCACAGATAGAAGGAAAACTGCCTTATAAAATTTTGGGGAACAATGCGCCGCCACGGCGCGGTGGATGCGATCCGAACTACACACATCAAAATAGTCTAGGGAACAAGATGCAACTGAATACATTTATAAATTGAACAAAATATACTTTTAAAAGATTTTTAAATTTTGTTAAAGCCTGCTGGAAAAGCCGATATGATAAATGTGACAAGATTTGTTTAACAAATACCCATATGGTATCTTTTAAAAAAAAGTTATTCTGTCTCAAAATTAAAACACGAATATTTCTTGTTCCCTAGACTTTTTTGAGGAGTGTATTTATAATAAAGGTTTCTGTAATCAAATCAGTTTTCAAAATAGTTCTCCCAATGTAAATATTTTCAATATTAGATTTGTTCGGACTTCAGTTCAGAATTGAACTACGCTTTCGCATTTCTTTATATAGGTTTGATATTT